TATCCCGCAAAAGAATGTGAGTGGTCTGGAGAGATTATTTTGAGGAGAAATTACTACGGTATCACGCTATGGTCTTTTCTTCTTCCTGATTTTCCTTGGGGGATTCGGTGAGAGGAGTAAGCAGAAGAGGTACCTAGACATAAGAGGAAACAGCACTTGGAGGTCTCACAAAAAGTAAAGGGGGTCCAGGAGCCCTTAATAATCCTGAAAGGCGTGTGACTCACCAATATCTGGTGAGTGCGGCTAATGTTGATTTCTGCACTGGTGCATGGTGAAGGGATCAGTAACACGGAAGAACCAAATGAAAATTATAATTTAATTTGTTTTATTTTTGTCACGGGACTGTAATTATATATATATATATTTTTTGGGATTTTTTTTTGATTTTTTGTCACTTGATTTTTTTGTCACTGGACTTATGATTATAATGTTTATATATTTTTTTATATATCAATTTATTTATATATAATTTATTATATATATCTTTATCAGCACAGTTATGCTTTTTTAAAGCTGAGTAATGTAATTGACCATGTGGGTTTGCGCTGGTTTTCATTGTTAAAAGTTTTTTTTTGGTCTTTTGTACCTGTGCACAGCAGCATCCCACGGGGATTTGTGTGGTAAATAGGAAGTCCTGAGCGCTGAGGTTTTGTTTTCTTTACATGGTTGTAAAGACTCAATGTTTTTTTTACCTTCATGCATTCTATGCATGAAGGTAAAAAAACCTTCTGTGTGCAGCAGTGCCCCTAGCCCCCCTAATACTTACCTGAGCCTCATCGAGATCCAGCGATGTGCACAACAGCCTCAGCTGTCCCAGGTCTCTGCCTCCTCAAAGACTTAGACAGCAAGTGGGAGCCATTGACTCCTGCTGCTGTCAATCACAGGCAGTCAGCCAATGAGGAGAGAGAGGGGGTGGGGGGGGCAAGCAGCAGCTCCATGTGTGTGAATGGACACATGAAGCAGTGGCTTGGGAACACGACTGCTTGGATGCCCCCATAGCAAGCCTGTATGGCCAGCTTCAAAGTAACAAGTCTACCAAGTCTGTCAGAGTCCAAATTGCTGTTACTGAAAGTAGAAAATTAACACTGGATTCATACGGTTTCGGAATTTCTGCACCCCAGAGAATCTCCAGTTTCCTTGGCTTGTAGTGTAATGTAACAAAAATGGAAACTGAAGTGCCACGCCACTGTTACGGGGTCCAGGTACAACTTTATTCCAATAAAAGTCAGGGGGACGATCCAAAAAAGTAATTAACGCGTTTTGGGGGGTTCAAGTACGCCCCCTTCATCAGGGCTAGAAAGAACATACGGACATCTCCATGTCAATACAAAAAAAAAAATCCTTAACTCTGGGTCATTATTATTATTATACAGTATTTATAAAGCGCCAATAGTTCGCTCAGCGCTGTACATTACAAAGGGGGACAGAACATGTGACAGAACAATACCAATACAATGCAAAACATGAGGGGTTAGAGGGCCCTGCTCTTTCGAGCTTACAATCTAGGAGGGAGGGGATGGTGGCACAGGAGGAGATAGCTGTGGGGGATGGAGTGGTAGGAAGAGTGGAGGAGATCGGCAGGTTAGCAGGGGGTGGAGTAGGCTTCCCTGAAGAGATGGGTTTTCAGGGTGCGCCTAAAGGAGAGGAGAGTAGGTGATAATCTGATGGGTTGGGGCAGGGAGTTCCAGAGGATGGGTGACACCCTGGAGAAGTCCTGGAGGCAGGCATAGGAGGAGGAGACCAGGGAACTAGAGAGAAGGAGGTCTTGTGAGGAGCGGAGTGTGCGTGCTGGGTGGTACTTGGATATTAGGTCGGTGATGTAGTTTGGGGCAGTATGGTGGACAGCTTTGTACGTCAGTGTTAGGATTTTGAATTTGATCCGTTGCGCAATCGGAAGCCAGTGGAGGGATTGGCAGAGGGGGGTGGCGGAGATGGAGCGGATGGAAAGGTGGATGAGTCTGGCAGCTGTATTCAGGATGGACTGAAGCGGGAATAGCCAGCGGCGAGGCAGGCCAGTGAGGGGGGAGTTGCAGTAGTCGAGTCGTGATATGATGAGGGAGTGGATGAGCTGTTTAGTGGTTTCTGGGGTTAGGAACGTGCGGATTTTGGCGATGTTGCGGAGGTGGAGTCTGCACGAGTTTGTTAAAGATTGGACTTGGGGCTGGAAGGATAGGTTGGAGTCCAGAATGACACCAAGTACTCTGGCCTGCGGGGCGGGTTTGATGGTGGCGTTGTTGGATGTGACGGAGAAGTCAATGGGGGGTGGTGTCCGGGCTGGGGGGAAGACAAGAAACTCGGTTTTGGAGAGGTTCAGTTTAAGGAAGTGGAGTGACATCCAGTCAGATATGTCGCTCAGTAGGTGTGTGATTCGGGCGGAGACCGAGGGGGTGAGGTGGGGGGTTGAGAGATAGATTTGTGTGTCGTCGGCATAGAGGTGGTAGTTGAAGCCGTGAGAGTGTATGAGTTGGCCCAGGGAGGAGGTGTAGATGGAGAAGAGAAGGGGCCCGAGGAGAGAGCCTTGAGGGACCCCAACAGAGAGGGGGAGTGAGGGGGAGGTGGTAGCATTATAGGTAACGCATGATTCATGATTAAAACCAAATAACCAATAGTATTGAAAGTATCAAAATGAATATATAAAAACTTCAGGCAAATATGAGAACATAAATACTAAAGTATACCATTTTAGTGCATCAAAAAAACAAAAACAAAAAATCATTATCATCATCATTAAAATAATAAATTTTGAGACTGGGTATAGATGCAGTAGTGTTGTTTTGTTGAGCCGGGGAATGCCCCAAGGCTATGTTTTGTAAACCATTCTTATTCTGCAAAACAATTTAAAAAAAAAAATCTAAATAAAAAAAAATTAATACACTTTGGTTAATATGTAGACCTAAGGAGAGTAAATATATAAAAATGAGTAAAATATATCCAAAAACTGATACGTGTATAACCTGAACCATACATTACACAATCCGATTGTACAATAAAACAAGACTGAACAATAAAAATAGAACAATAATAATAATAATAATAATAATATTAGTGATAGTTTTTGCCATTATTGACAGGCTTAGCAGACTTGTTAATAGAGAAAAACAAAACAAAATATGATTCATTAGTGAGCATATATAAGAGAGGGACAGACATCTAGGTAGTTAGGCTCTGAGGAAGAGGCTAGTCCTCGAAACGCGTCATAAATTTTGGATGCCCATCATTCTCATCATTATTCAGAATCGCAGTGCGAATTGGACAGAGCGGTCCCTTATGATGTGCCTTATATTTATCTACTTTTGTGAGTAGAATGCCTTTCTTTTATATTTAATAAACATACTTTTAAAAGGTGATGCACAAGGCCGGTGCGCCCTCTGTTTTGTTTTTCTCTATTAGTACTTTTGGACTCCCCGGTTCTTTGAGGGCAGCAAGGCGTGCATATTCCAAGATTTTCGTTGTGTGGTCCCTATGACATAGAATCCATCCCTAAGCGCAGGAGTATCTGGGTTTTCCACTTTCACATTAGCAGACTTGTTACTGTGAAATAGGCCATACACAGCTTGAATTTTGGGCTTATTACAGAATAATGCTAATTGCTGAAAGATTATCTGCGACACCCAGGGCTTTGGACTCCATACAGTTTTCTGCTTCACAGCCTGTGATTTAAAAAGAATGGACCAAAGCTGATGAGTTTCCACTGCTGACTAATAAGCAAAAGCAGCATGAGCCTGGGTTCACACTTGTGCGGTGCGGCATATCGCATATGATTCTCACAGAAACAGCACCGTACTCCTGTGCAAATCACATGCGAATTCTGTTCGGTGCGATTTGACTCAAATCGCACCGCACAGAATTTGCATGTGATTTGCACAGGATTTGACTCAAATCGCACTGCACAGAATTTGCATATGATTTGCACAGGATTTGACTCAAATCGCGCACTGCACAGAATTTGCCTATGATTTGCACAGGATTTGACTCAAATCGCACCGTATCCACACTAAAAAAAAGGTGCAGGAACCTTATTTTGGTCCGCAATAGAATCGGATCGCATGGGCATTCACACCCATGCGATCCGATTCTGCACATCGCACCGCGTTTTGCAGACAGATTTTGGGGTGTTGTTAACTCAACATACACACCCGCAGAGGTTCGTATGAACGGGGTGCGATTGTGATGCAGTGCGGAATTCACACAGAAAAACCGCTGCGAATTCCGCACTGCAACCAGCATGGATGTAAACACTATAAACATTTTCTACGCAGCCTCTGTCTTCTCTGCAATGGTATGGTTGCACTTCACATGTGACAGCTTGACTTTAAATGCAAATCCACCTAATATGACATAATAGCAGATAGCAGCTTTGTCCTAGCTAGCCTATCCGTTTTAACCCATGAGCTGCTGGGGAAGCAAAAAAAAATGAAAAAAAACTTCGAGCTTTCAAAAAAAACAGAGAAAAAGCACAACATTTATAGAGGGGTAAACCCCCCTATGAGTTTTATAAACAGAAGCTGTGTGCACCTAGTGGTGCCATTTGCCAGAAGTGCTTCCAGTAGCCCCTCCCATCCATTATATATAAAGATTCCTAAGGAGGCAGCTGAGCTTAGTGCAACTCCTCCTTTCTTACTGCTGGGAAGGAAACTGCATGAACAGCTGTGAAGACATCAGGAGAATTAAATTCAAAGTCACGGGCATTGCGAGCCATCAGGCCTTCTTATGAGAAATAATAGGCAGGAAGAGAAATTACTGGGGAAGGGAATTAAGGACGCAGTCTGGAGCGGGAGCAGAGGGGCGACTGCGGAAGATTTTGAGTCGTCTTACGGAGCTTCAGGTAACGAGAGACAGAGCCTGCTAGAACACAAAGCATGGCTTTCACCATGCTCCGATCCATGCCCACGCATGTCATGTACCCGGACCTTTCTATGATGTCTGAGGACGAGGAGAATAGGAGCGAGAGCGACAACTCCGATCAGTCCTTTGGATGCTACGACACTTCGGCCAAGAGAATGAAGGTGTCGCGGAAAACCGGGCAGGTGGTGGTAGTGAAGCAGAGGCAAGCGGCCAATGCCAGGGAAAGGGATCGGACACAAAGTGTTAACACCGCCTTCACTGCCCTTCGCACACTGATACCCACAGAGCCGGTGGACAGGAAGCTCTCCAAGATAGAGACTCTACGGTTGGCGTCTAGCTACATCTCCCACCTGGCTAACGTGCTGCTGATAGGGGAGGGCTGCGAAGATGGGCAGCCGTGTTTCAGTACGGTGTACAGACCCCGGGAAGAGTCGGAAGGAAAACTGCCACGCAGCATTTGCACGTTCTGCCTTAGCAACCAAAGGAAGGGGGTAAGTTTAGGGGTTAATACAAAATGACACAATGCCGTCCAGCTACATCATTTATTTATTTTTCTAATTGAAATATAAGGGGCAGGAATTTAGGGTGACTTCTAGAAGTAAAAAATGTAAATGCAAAGCTAAATCTTCTATAGCAATCGGGAGAAGACTAATCCATCTTTGTACTGCTGATTAAAAACAGAAAAGCAATGGTGGAAGCGAGGTTGCAGGTTTGAAGTTCCCCAAATATCGCACGTAGTCCTGGTAGTAGTAATGGCTGTAATATAATATAAGTGAGGTTATATGTGGTAAGGCCTTTGTTCTCAGCAGGAATGGGCCATTTAACACCGAATTCAGCAGCCAGCTATTTGAGTTACAGAAAACCTTGCAAGGGATGCTGCGTTTTCATTATCAACATCAAAAAAAAGTTTGGCATCAGCATGAGCTAGAATTTATGCCATTTACCTAGATTTAAACTGCCTATACGTTATACAATTTTCATTTTTTAATTTCCTTTAGATTTACCTTCAACTTTGTAGTACAAGGTCTTGCCTGATTGCATACAAATTGAAAGTTTTTAGGTCTGACCTCATATTATATGGTTTTGGAAAAATTGTACAAGAGAATTGTATAGTGTATGGTCAGCCTTAGCGTGTCAAATCTGGTGCACCTCTGCATAGAATCTAATCGACTTCCATTGTTGTTTTGGTTTTTTTTTGTTAAAGCTTAATTGAACAAGCTGAAGTTAGACACTGATTGGCTCGTATGCACAACTGCACCAGATTTTGCATCCTCCAGGTTTAGTGACACCTAAGCGCTTTCCGCAGCGTTTTGCAGAATCACACTACATTCCATTTAACATGATTTCCTATGGGACTCATTCACATTTGCGTTTTCACCCGGTGCGTTTTTTTGGAAAGGATCAGGAACTTTTTTAAATGCAAAAAGTTGCGTTTTTTGTTCTATAGACTTCAATGGAAACGCTGCAGAAAAGTAGTGTGTTTTTGCTGCGTTTTTGCGTTTTAAATCTGCCTAGCAACAAGAAAAAAAAAAGTTGCACAAATCGCATCAAAAACGCAAAATGCACTGCAGTAACAGATCAAATGCAAACTACATAGGTGTGAACCTAGACTAAATTCACCCCATAGCTCTTAATCTAGTAGACAATATTCCAACATTTTCTTCTGTTTACAGACTTTATATCCGTTTACGTATTTACATGCGTTTATGATCAATATATGTGTACATATTGGTTTATTTTGAATTCTTTAGTATACAGCGCTACACCCTATACATTTCTGAATATTCCAACATGTATGATCTATCGTAACAGATTTTTGTTAACATTGGTCATGTATGAGAAGGAACAGGCCGAATATAAAATGAACAATACAATTTTAAGGCAACAAGGCAAGAGCCCAGTATTGGTATCGTAAAGATCTCCTGTTCACAATTAAACTAATTTATTGTTTTGTAAACTTAGGAATACAACCCCATAGCTCTTAATCTAGTAGACAATATTCCAACATGTATGATCTATTGTAACAGATTTTTGTTAACCCTGGTCATGTATGAGAAGGAACAGGCCGAATATAAAATGAACAATACAATTTCAAGAACCTCTGAATAAGGCAAGAGCCCAGTATTGGTATCATAAAGATCGCCTGTTTATAATTAAACTAATTTATTGTTTTGTAAACTTAGGAATACAATGTAAACAGGTGTGATAGAAATAGTCGATACAAAACACAACAAATTGTAATATCTGTTATATACTGGCACTCAAAACAAAGTCCTATGCTGCCTATTATTATTAGAAACTAAAAACTGGAATATTTCCATTCTGTTACATTAAAAGATCTCTAAAACATCCTTACTACTGTAGAAAAGGATACAACTTGTGTGACAGAATTGAAAAAACTGCACATGCTGATAAAATGTGTCAAAGTTCCAACGTATTCTGACATTGTATTACAATGTACAATAAATAAAAAGGAAAGGCTCAGAGGTTTAATGAATTCTGCAGAGCCTGGTGCTGCACATCAACAAAAGGCAGCAAAGCAGCACTCTGGGGTAATCTTAAAATTTTGGCTGGAGGGTTAAGCAAAGCGCTTTGCAGGGGCCTCAGACACACGAGCTGCTGCGATACCTTTTCTCCACCGCAGTACATTAAATCCAATGCCATTGTGATCATTTCCACACTGAATTTCTGAACACCACCACTTTCATTTTCCAGAAGACTGAGGTTTTCCTGTGAATGAGGGGTACAGCTATTTTTGGCTGTGGATTTTCTCCTCTCTATAAAAAAAACATTGTATACATTGTATAGTTATACTTCCCTAATCCTAGTGGCAGCCATGAAATAGGAGTTATACAGCGTAACTGTCCACAACAAAGCCCCAGGCTTGTCAGTGTTTGTGTTGCGTTAACATATTTATCAGGCCTAGGCTCATTAGGAGAAAGTGTGGCACTTGCTAAATACTGTATATGTCAGGATTTCTTTTTTTATCAAGCAGTGTCAGTGCAACAACAAAAAAGGGGCCATTTTAATGAGAACTATTCATCTACTGTATTCATATACTGTATCTGTATCTACTGTAAGCCATTGTGCGCAAACGTGGGTTTTGCTATTATATTTAGTTTTATAGCGGCGTCAATTTTACGCAGCGTTTTACATGTATATTGTACATTCACATCAGTCCCTAACCCTCAAGGGGGGCGTACAATCTAAGGTCCCTAACCCTCAAGGGGCGTACAATCTAATGTCCCTAACCCTCAGGGGCGTACAATCTAAGGTCCCTAACCCTCAGGGGGTACGTACAATCTAAGGTCCCTAACCCCCTCAAGGGGCGTACAATCTAAGGTCCCTAACCCTCAAGGGGCGTACAATCTAAGGTCCCTAACCCTCAAGGGGCGTACAATCTAAGGTCCCTAACCCTCAAGGGGCGTACAATCTAATGTCCCTAACCCTCAGGGGGCGAACAATCTAAGGTCCCTAACCCTCAGGGGCGTACAGTCTAAGGTCCCTAACCCTCAAGGGGCGTACAATCTAAGGTCCCTAACCCTCAAGGGGCGTACAATCTAAGGTCCCTAACCCTCAAGGGGCGTACAATCTAAGGTCCCTAACCCTCAAGGGGCGTACAATCTAAGGTCCCTAACCCTCAGGGGGCGTACAATCTAAGGTCCCTAACCCTCAAGGGGAGTACAATCTAAGGTCCCTAACCCTCAAGGGGAGTACAATCTAAGGTCCCTAACCCTCAAGGGGCGTACAATCTAAGGTCCCTAACCCTCAAGGGGCGTACAATCTAAGGTCCCTAACCCTCAAGGGGTGTACAGTCTAAGGTCCCTAACTTACATTCATACATACACATACTAGCGCCAATTTAAACAGGATCCAATTAACCTACCAGCATGTCTTCGGAGCGTGGAAGGAAACCAGAGTACCCAGAGGAAACCCACGCAGGCACAGGAAGAACATGCAAACTCCAGGCAGGTTGTGCTGTGGTTTTGGATCTGAACCAACGACCCGAGTACTGCCAGGCAGAAGTGCTAACTATTTAGCCACTGCGTTGCCCATTATTAGTGTGTCTTGGCAATACACCGGAGTAAATACTAGCATTATATTTACAAACATAGTTTGTGTTCAATAGAGATTTAAACTACATCTGACAAGTACATTCACCTCACAGGGTTTGGTTAACTTGGGTCTGTGCAACTACAACAAAACATCTGCTGTAGCCTGTCATTGTCATATGCAAATTGGCAGATAACGTCATCCATAAGCCCTGGTTCACACCAATACGATTTGACAGTTCAAAATCGCATGAAAAGTCGCACCCTATTGCCAGCACTACTGTTCTGTGATTTTATTGCGACTTCAATTGACTGTTGAATGAAGTCTTGAGCCTCAATGAAACGGCACAGCAAAGTCGCACTTATCTGCGGCTTTGAAATCACGCTGAAGTAGAGCGATATCAAAGCCGAAATGGTGAGAACCAGGGCTTACTGCAAATTATGTTGGGTTGCTTAATTCACTTCAGGAATCTAATCTACTTACATGGTAAATACAGTTCTGGTACATGAGAGAGATACATTATTGTCTACATTAGCAAATCAAATATTTGAAAATGTTGCAATAAAAACAAACAATTATTTTTATTATTTCTGAGTGTTTCATTTAAGCATCAACCCAGTTAAGTGTGACATTCAGTAGCTAATTTCAAGAATTATAAAGAATTATATTCAATGCTTACTGACTGTAAGTTGGAGATTTACTAAAACTGGTGTACACAGAATGTGGTGCAGCTGTGCATGGTAGCCAATCAGCTTCCACATTTTATTGCCAAAGCTTAATTGAACACACTGAAGTTAGAAGATGATTGGTTACCATGTACAGCTGCACCAGATTCGGAGTGCTCCAGTTTTAGTAAATCTACCCCACCACTTACCAACTGTAAGCCCTGGTTCACACTGATGCGGTGCGGAATTCGCAGCATTTTAAATGCGAATTCCACACCGCATCAGAATCACACCCAGTTCAGGGGAACCACTGCGGGTGTGTATGTTAAGTTAACACCCCGAAAGCGGTCTGCATAACGCAGTGCGATGTGAAGAATCAGATTGCATTGGTGTGAATACCTATGCGGTCCGATTCTACTGCGGACCCAAAAAAGGGTCCTGCGCGTTTTTGGTGCGGGGCGAATAGAGCGATACAAAATTTATGGCTCCGATCGCACCGCACACAAAGCGCATGTGATTTGCACGCAAACCCAGGCTAAGGGTTTTTTATAGCTCAATCCTATTGGTTTGTTTTTGTTGCTAACTATTAAAGGTTTGTGAAGAAACTCATGAGGCTGGCCACACAGGTTGATGATTTACCAAGTATGCGGGGTGGTAAAGTACCAGCACAAAACGTTTCCATGTCCGACCAGATGTTGCCAGTGCACATGCGCTAAACTGTCAGTTCTCTTTCTCCATAGGAAGTGGAACTCTTTGCTATTGGGTGCTATTTTAAAAAGCATGTTGTACGATGATGAAGG